AAATCCAGTATCACACTGTTCTGTTCTGTATTCACCCCCATCTAGAGCAATCTATTCATACATCCTGCAAAAAAAACCCAAACAACACAGAATGCTTTCTTGCTGCTAGGCAAGCCACAACACTAGGCCTCAGCCCCAGCAAGACCATCAGCAAGACCACAGCCCAGAGATATGATACTTCAGTGCCTCATTTTTAGTATCCTAAAGCATCTCATCATTCCAAATGTCTAGGTGGGTTACTTGGAAGGCAGTACTTAATCACTTCTTAAAGACAGGTTTTCAGGAACTAGAATGAAATACTCTTTTTTCAACTGCAGCTGCCATTTTTGGACCTTGATTGGTGTTTTCTGGGTGTTTACTACGACTGACTTGTACTCTGAAGGAGTGCCCAAGAATAGACCAAGACATTACAATTCTGTGCAAAAATTGCATCTGAAACTAAGCACAAACCACGTTCTTCACCCTGTTATGATCCCTATTAACTGACATCCCTCCCTCAACAGTTATATTTGTATTTTGTCCTGTTGCAAATTGCCTTCTCAAACACAACGGCTAGAGCTATATCTGGAATGCAGCACTGTCATGGCCAAGAACCAGGCATGCCTTAGTTCACTAGGTCTGCCAGGTCAGTCCCTGCACCCCAGGTAACCAGAAGGCAGGTTGGACCACCTGTGAGACTCACCTTTGTGGCAGAGACAGGCTGGGGGCACCTGGTGCTCCTAACCCTTCACAAGAGCTAATATGCCTTGCAAGACCTAAAGGAGTAATAGCACAATAAATCCTTTGATAAATTCACTGCTGCTTTTTGTCCACCCAAGTGGCTGAAATAGACAACCTTTGGAGCTCAATTAATCTCATAAATGGAAGCCACATGGAAGAATGGGTTAAATTCATACATAAACTCATACAGCTCATAAACTCATAAAACTCATGGAACAATTGCAGTGTATGCCTGATGGCCTTGCAAACCTTCAGTGTTCTGTGGACTACAGACAAGGAGTCATATGCACAAAAATATTAAGAAAGAGATAAACCTGAGCTGGATACTTGCAATATGTTATTCCTTACTGCAAGCAATGTAGAACACTATTGTTCACTGCCACCTTGAAGAATGGAGTTCTTAAAAGAACACAATGAAATAATAATGAACAGAATAAAAGGAATTTCCTCTCACCCACCACTCTCCTACCTCCTAAACAATTACATTATAGGTCTTTCTTTTCTCTGATTGCAACAGAAATGCATAATCAGGAGTTCTTGCCACACTCCTGCACTTCTTGAGAAACAGCTCTGACACTGGCCATACTTGGGCAGTGTCAGAGAACAAAGCTTTGTTGACCAGAGGATGAAACATGCGGATAATTTACAATGTAACATCCAAATTCCTGAAGCATAGGGAAACCCTCTTATCCATTTCAAGACTAATTTACTGTCCAGAATTATCCTTTTGGGTTTAGCCTGAAGCCTGAAGCCTGAAACCTCAAGCTGCAATTTCCACAAACAGATTTCCTGGTGTAGCTGAGGGCATCTCCTAGCTTTCTGCACCATTGGAAACTTAACACCCCAACATCCCATCACACTTGTCCTCCAGTTCTGTGATTCTGCTCATGGAAGACAGTACAGTGAAGGAAATTGCTTGTATTTCTCTTCATTTAAACACTGCAATGACTCAATACAAGAGAGGGAAGGTGATGTCTCTGCCAAGAGATGGTACCAAAACAAAACAAAACAAAACAAAACCACAAAAAAAACCAAAACAAAACAACCCAAAGAACCTATCAGCTCATTCCTCAGCAGCTTCTTCAGCATACTGATCTCAATATTTTTACAGCATCATTGTACTCCTCAATAAATATAATTTCACCCTGCTGCCTTCATGTTATACCAGCAGTTACTCAGGTACCTAATTATTTTTCTGTTATTAAAATCCTAGTAATTCATTGTCTCAGGATTTAATCTTCCTCAAAGATTACTGGATCTAAGCATGAGATACACAAAGGAAAGAGGAAGAGACCAGGACAGACAGAATTAGATCAAACATTCCTGTCTCCACTCAGCACTAGGGTTGTCACATACAGTTCTGACTGCTAACACATTTGGTTGACATAAAAGTTTTTTCTTCCTGAAATAGCTAAACACAGAGATACACAAACTAAATGTAAGACCTTGGAAGGACACTTAAACTACATCCCCTACAGTTTAGTTAGAAGCTCCTGAGCTAGCTTTAAACCAGCTAGCCATTTTATGCCTGCAGTAGCATGGACCTTCTGTCAGCCCTGTCACCAAAGGCACGGCAATGCACCATCACATGGTGTTTTTACCCTGGAAAATGATCAAGTCCAAAGATGTTGATCAGAGTCCTAGCATGAGGCTTCACAATAACAATTCAGGTACCAGCTTCTACTGGCACCCATCATCTGCTGCTCACATTCCTTATTGAATCTAGGGCTCTTATGAACTAAAACCAGAAAAGTGTTTGTTACAAGAGCAAGAACAACATTCACAACATCTAAATAAAGGAAGAGAAACACTTGAGAATGCCTGGTGACCCAAAGAAAAAGATTAACAAAAAAAAGCAATTTAAAAGCAAATGTAAAGTTCATAAATTAAAATAGGCAGGAATTATTTTCAAATTACATACTTACAAGGAAGATAATTCCTTACTACCATCACATCTTCACATAAAATATGCTAAGGGATGCTAAATATGATTTCAACAGCATCATCCAAGCATGCAGTATACTGAGGAGCACCAGCATGATAAAAAATCCCATGATCCACCTATGATTGCATACTTTCCCTTACATGTGGAAAGCCCACAGTGGCAGCAGTTTGTTTTGAACAGAATGGTATGGACACAATCTGAATTTCTAAGATTTTCTGAGTCAGACTAAAGGTCTGTCTAAACTTGGACACTGCCTCCAGTAGGTGCCACTAGTGGGATGAAGAGCACTGCAGAAGAACATGCATTCATGAACTGTAAAGATACTGCTCCACCTTTCAACACTGCGTGACTGTATTTAGTAGTATTGCAATAGATTTTTCTTCCATGTTTTAGTTTACAGTGAACAGCAACTATTTTCTTTAAGCCATAAGCCTCATACAAACACTTGGTCATCTGTTCTCCATGCTGAAGACTCACATTCTGAGTATTTTACCCTTATCTTTAAATACTTTGCTCCCTTAGCATTTGGGACATTTTGTTTTCAACAACAAAGAACAAATCCGCTTCCTCAGACAGACAGTGTAAGTGCCAAACCCTGAACTCCATGGCAAACGGGAGCAACCATTTTTCTGCACAGTGAAACTGAACAGCTTGTACTCTAATGGAGATATTCAAAGTTATCCTGGTTGACTGGGAACTGATAATACACAGGGAACACACCTGAGACTTTTTCCACATACTGAGTTTATTCTTGGCTACCCATCTAGTTTAGCTTTACATCACATCTTGGGCTTAAAGGCTTGCATTATGTATGAGAATCCAGATACACTTACAGCATTAATTATTCCACACAAAAGAAAACCTGCCATTAGCAATTCAATGCATCATTTACATCACCATAATAATTACAATTCCCTTTCTTCCAGTAAATTTGGGCATAACAACTGCATCACTTTTCCATTTTGACTCCTCGCTCTCATGTTACAGCTTCACAGGTATGCTCCTACTATCTGCAATAATTATGAAAATTAGTTTTATCACATGAACTTTTGACTAGGATCCATTACAGTGTCATTCTGTCTCTCCCACTGCATCTAGAATATCATGGTTTCAAAGTTCAGGGTGCTTTGCAAAAGCAATTTATCTGCCACAGTCATGTCTGGGGTACTAGCTTCTCACTTTATGTGAGGCATCTTCCAGAGCTCTATTAGTCTGAGAGAGTTAACAGAAATTAAAACACAGATGAGGGGTTTTTGCTGTTGTCAGTGACAAACACATTCATTTAAGAACTAAGGCGTTGAGCAAGGATTCTTGGTTATGGCACTACTTTAATGAACCTGTAAGATCATGCTTTTGTGCTAAGTAATGCACAAGCAACCTCAGCATTCCTGTAAACAGTTTAAAAGTTAAGTATTCTGGAGGATGTAACAGTGGACAAGGGATACACGGAATGAACATTGGTGAAGGCCAATGAAAAAAGCAGAGGCAAAAGGTACAGCCTCCTATTTCAGCAGTCTCAAATAGCATTTAAAGGCCCATTTTGCACAAACACCTATGGGATTAAGACATTGAGGGAGGACAGGAGAAGCTTTTCCTATTATAATACTCAAGAGAAAGAGAACAGAAGAGAGGCCCTCTGACTTGGAGAGGAAATAAACCTGGAAATCCAGCTTACTGGAGCCATGGTGACAGTGGGGTAATATTAAGTCGCAGAAAATTTTTAAGAGGAAGGTCAAGGTAACCATCCTATTCAGCAAGCTCAACAAGTATTAGAAGTGAAAAGCACACCAGCCAGCAGATAGATAGGTAGAGCCTATGAAGTTATATATAAAGTGGCCAGGAAGAGCCATAACAAAAAAAAGTTAGCAAGATGAGCTAAAAAGGAAAAAAGGAATGCCATAAAGGAATTATTTCCACGAACTGCCACCATGTCACAAATACATATTATTTATTTCTAGGGGAGAGAAAAGGCTGGTCGTGTTACAAGGTGCAGAGCTGCAGCCCTGTGAACACAGTGCTCCCTGCTAGACTGTCTGCTGCATCGCTGCAATACTCCATCCCATTTTGCCTGAAGTCATGGTCACCACCACCAAGATGCAGCACAGAGTGCTTACCCAGCAGCCTTCAGGGCTGCACTCCCAAGTGAAAGGCCATGACAGTCACTAACAAACCTCTCAGCTGATCAGTCTCAACACTATGACAGCCTAGAGAATCAATTTGTTTATTGTTGCAGAATGCAAGACAAAGATCTCAAAACCACCCCTGTCCCACAGCTCCAGGGAAACAAGCCAACTCAGTATATTCAGATTTACAAAAGGAGTATTTTCATCTTCAGTTAAGCTGCTTTCCCAATGATCAGCACGCTCATAAAAAACACCATGATAAAGAAAATCCACATGAAAAATCTGTCCATCACTTTTGCAACTTTTTTCCACTCAATTCCTTTGGCCTTGTTTGCTTTATGTTCTCGAACACAATTAGCAATATACTCAATATTTTTAATTAGCATTTTGTAACAGGAACAGCAATTAACAGTCTCCCTAATATTTTCATCATTAACGCCATAGCTTTTATTCAAACTTCCATTGAGCTTCTCCTTGAGATCACAGTCATCATTCCTACAGGAAAGGTGACTCCTTACCTCTCTGTGCCTCCTCTGACATCTATCATCCCCCTCTAATTTACATTCTTCCTCCTTCTCTCTTTTCGGACTTGTGCAATTTTCACCCACATCATAAACAAAAAAGATTTTTGACATGTAGTCCAAAATAACCACCCTGGCCCATTGTGGAACAGGCTTTGCTTCTGAGCCACAGTGATGGAGATTCATTATAATGATCGTCAGTGCAGTGGAAGCTGTGATCATCGTCATAGTTGCTATGTAATACTTTCCTAGAACACAAAATAAAATCATATTACAGATGCAACTCTAAAAAAAAAATCAGTGTAACTGTAAAATATAAGATAAGTTCTAATGATAAGTGCAAGTGAAACCAGTTTTTAATTACCTGGATTATCTATACTTGGATTACACTTAATTTACCATTTAAAAACACAGATTAAAGCCATTAAAGTAAAACCTCATACTTGTTACTGGCATGCCTTTATCAGATGAGTGACTATTGTATTAGCATGGTAAATATTTGCAAGCCAAAACCTCTGATTTCTCAAAATACACTCATTCAGAAAACACCTTAAAAATGTTTATCAGGAGCCTTGCTCTTTTCCTGATGTCCGTAAAACCCCAGTGTAGACAGCTTCACCTGGCACATCTGAAATCCCGCTTCCTGATGTATTAACAAAAGTAGGGATAATGTTTTGTTGGAGCTGTTGATGCATCCCACACCAGCGTTCACATTCACACAGACCAGGGAACATCCAGACCACAACTACTGTACTGACAACTACGAGCTCAGGCACAGAGCTGAAAGGTGGTTCTGTTGCCACCCTTCTTGAGATTTGCTGTTTCTTCAGAAAGCACAAATATCAGCATAGCTAGAGCAAACAGGAACAGAATGCAAAAAGGGTGAATGCAAGTTGTGGCCCTCAGCCACTGCTTGTCACGAGGGAAGTACACAGGTGAGCAGTTAAACTGCTGTGGCTTGTGCCTGTGCAAAGAGGCAGCTCCCAGCCCTGCTGTGGTCTTGTGGAGCCTCTGCAGGAAAAGCAAGGGCTGGCATCCATGAAACAGGATGTGACACAGTCAAGTACGATGTGATCCCAGTTTCTAAAGGGGTTGGAAAGGATGGTGAGGAGAGTGTGAGAAGAGAGAAAGCAGACTGAGGTCAGGTCCTGACTCCTTAATTTAGACAGTGTGATAGGAAGGTAGGGAAGTTATTCTAGTACAGCAAGTCTGTATTCTAGGGAGTAACAGTTGCTGATGGTGTGGGAAATGCATTCAACTTTCCTATTTATGGACCAGTGTTTTGTCTCAGTTAAGCTATGCAGGTTTTCTTAGTAATAATGAAAATAAAAATTATTATCTTAATTAAGCTGGAAGCTAGAGTGAAGGTAACAGTATTTCTAGTCCTCCAGAAATCCCACCAGGATAGTTGGGCAGCCTCCAGCCCCAGGGGTGGATCAACCAGGGGCAAAAGGGTCTTGGCAGAAGGCAGGTGCTGAACACCACCCTTTTGCTACCCATCAGCTCTTTTGAACCCTCAGGCCTAGAATGAAATTCAGCATAATGGATTGCTAGGCATTATATTTCAATGTAACTATTGTCAGATATCAAGTCAACTCTGAGCATCCAACCATCTGATCTGACAGAACTGTACGTTGAAACAGTCTGACCTTGCGTGTATAGCTCTTGCTTACACTTTGTACACCGGTTCTAAAATTGTTTTCTATTACTAACTTTATTACAACATGACAAAATAATTCTCAATGTCTAATTACTTTAAATAAATACCAAATAGCTAGCTAATATAATTAAAATAAATACAAAATAACTTTGAAGAGCTTCAGCATACCTGTAAAAATTCCATGCACGTTGTATTTCACTATGTTTTAAATATGCAACACCTATACCTTATCAGAAGTCAAAAGTAACATATAGAATCATAGAATCACAGAATATTAGGGGTTTGAAGGGGCCTCCAGAGACTGTCGAGTCCAACCCTCTGCCAAAGCAGGGCCGCCTAGGGCAGGCCACACAGGAATGCATCCAGGTAGGTTTTGAAAGTCTCCAGGAAAGAAGACTCCTTGCCATAAAGTCCTGCTATTATTAAGCCATGCTTAAAGACAAAGCATGTGAAACTCACCTATCAAAGGTACACTTTCAGATGGAGGCATGATCTCTGCAACCATCAGCTGAAACACAGTCAGAGCAAGAAGAACTGTAACACCCAGAGACACTTTTTCCCCTGAGTCTGCAGGGAGATAGAATCCCAGTGGGGCCAGGAAAGAGATCAAAACACAAGGCAGCAACAGATTAAATATGTAGAATGAAGACTTCCTTTTCAAAATCAGTGTGAAGGTCACATCTGGATAAGGCTCAGAGCAGCAGCCATAAGTTACGACATTCTTAACTGCTGGCATACCGTGAATCTCCCATTCCACATCTTCTACGAAGTCAGAGAGGTCACCACTATCAAGAGAATTAATGATGTCTACCTGATTGCCATTATAGGTCCAGGACCCAAATGTAAGGTTGCACTGCTGGCTGTCAAAAGGAAAATAAGATACATCCACTACACACGAGCTCTTTGTGATAGCGGGTGCATCCCAAGTGATTTTTCCATCATATCTCAACACAACATTAGTATTCACTGGTTCTGAAAAGTCATCATCAGCCCTAAAAGACAGAAAAGTGACAGTCAGGATCAAAAGGCAACAACTTAATATGTGGGGCAGGGAGGCAGGGAAAGACCTTTGCTTCATACCATTAAAACCATGCTTCTGAAATCATGTTATTTATTTATACTAAGTTTTATTGGGAACTTACCTATCATTTACAGGTACCAGTGCCCATTAATGCCTTTGTGGACACAATCTTCCAGAGCTCTTCAGCAGCCTCAGCAGAAAACACTTCAGACTGCCAGAGTATTCAATTCCCAGCACAGAGAAATTCAGAACAGTTTTGCTGTGTAACATAATCAATTGCCAAATTCTCTCTATGGCTTTATTGCAAAATATTTAGATGATCAACAACAAATGTTAAGACAACAAACAAACCCCTTGCTAAGGTAAGGTGAAGAGATGAAAGTTCAAACTCTGTGGGTCAGTTCCTCCTTCAACCCCTTCCCTCAGACTGAATAACCAAGCTTATTTTCTCCAGTCACTCACTTGTTATACAGGACAATATCTGGTCTCCAAACCAAATTGCTTGGAATCCTGATAGAATCCAACCCATCGTATTTATCCTTGTCCCACTTGAGGTAAGCATCATACCAGCTTTGTCGAATCCATAAGTAAGCTGACAAAATTTGGTTCCTTTCATCCTGCATTAAAATGTAGAAATATTTCTAGCTGAAGGTGACAAAAATCACATCTTAGATGGAGACAACAATTGTTGTATAGCTTTAAAGTAAAGGCCAGTAAAAAAGGCCAGAATGTTGACAGGCCACAAGAGAACAAGTACACGGTGCCCATACACAGTACAAGGGGCTTGCATCCTCCCTAGCTTTAATCATAACTGTCTAAGGCTCCCAGTACATTAAGAATTTGCTTTTGTGAGCTTCAGAGTACCAAACAGCTAACAGATTCAGCCTACCAATTTCTCTGAAAGCTTGGTGAGGCCTCAAAGTTGTAATTCAGAAGTCAGAAAAGAGATTTTCTGTTCTCCTAGACATTTTCTTTTGCCTAAAAAAGTGTATCTGGCTAAACCAAATTTATTTTAAAAGTTACTTAAGGCTAAAATAGGGCGTTTATGTAGAAATTAATTGCATCTTAGAAAAAGCATTTGCTCTTTCTATTTAAAACTCTGCAAAAGTTGCCTGGAGGGTGTGATACCAACACCTAACAACAGAAGTCTTAACAGTTCAGTAAGTTAGCAAACTTAAAATGGAAATCTTAGTGCTGCAATCAGATAAGAATCTACCAAGAACTGGAGAACATGACCCTCGCGAGGAAGGATTATTGAAGTTGTCACAACAAAATGCAAGCTGCCTTTCCTACTCCAAGCAAAAGGTTTACAGCTAGTACATTTCCACATACCTTTAGAAAAACAGAACTGCACTCTTACCATATCTTTAATTTGGGACAATGTTATCTGAAGGGTGACATTCAGTACTTTATCTGTGTCTTCCACTGGTATTAGAGCATTTGAGTAGTCTTCAAACAGTTCATTAAACAGCATGTGAGCGTATTTTCCTTTCGCTGATTTTACATCTAGGTAACATTTATTCAGCACATCAGGTTAAGAACTGAGCAGTAGCAGAAGATACCCTCTTTCTACAGCTTCAAGTAGCATTTGCTGCAACTATATTAAACATTCACACAATGTTGAATATATAATTTAGTGCAAAACCAGAAGTATACCTAATGAAGCTATTCAAATAAGGACAGCATTCACCTGTAGAAAACGAACAGCTAATTCTAGCATTCCACACCCACCAAAAAACCCCTCTACATCCATAGATTCCTGCCTGTTTTGAAGGTAAATATCAGTACTTTTATTTTACTGATGTCTTTCATAGACAAAGAGATTACTGACTTACAGTCATACATTTGCCAAACTAAAGTTAGAAGCAAAGTCTGAGGCCAAACCTGTTCCCTGGCTAACAACTTCTGATTTTTCCCTAGATGCAGCACTGAGATTCATGCTACTTTCAGAATTTACTCTTTCTTTTTTAACTACCTCCTGGAAAAAGTCTGAGCTGCTGTTTTTCACAAATTGGCAACTGCATAACTGCATGATGAGCACATCCTTGCACTAACACCTTTTCCAAACCATGTACTTAGAGATGGTTCCTGCTATCCAGGCTTAGTCACTAAAGATGACTCACTGAAACTTTAGGGTTTAAACGACAGTTTTACTGTTCCACACCATTTTGTGCATCACAGTTCCTGTAGGCAATCTTTGTATTACTTTTAGATAGATTCTCACATTCTGCCAGCAAAGGGCAAAGACAGTAACATTCAAGACTTGCACAAATGCCAGCTGGCACTACCTAGGAAGCAAGTGCTTTGGAGTGTATCACTCTCTGGTGACTCACAGTGACTTCAAGGACTAATCAAAGCAAACCTTTCTGATTAAAAAGAAATCCTAGCAAATCAAAGCTTCACAAAGAATGTTTAAGTTCTAGCTGTACATGACCATCTTCCACTTCGTCTTTGCATCAATGAGGCAAAATAAAATGAAACAGATGAAAGACTTGAAGACTTCAACTGTGTAAGACATATCAGGACAGTAGCTCCTATCTGAGTAAAATAAACCTCAATGCAACATTTAGGTATTGAGCAGTATTCTCACCTTGAAGCATCACTGCTGTAAACAGCAACCAGAGAGAGATGGAGAAGGAGGACAGGCTATTTCTCTTCATTTCTGGATCTTAAATAAAACTGTTCACTCACGGGCACGAAACGTTTATCGTCATGCAAAATGAAAGAAAAAATAAAAATCAAGTTGCACAGCTATGTAAAGATGCTGAGGCACTGATGAGCTGCTAGAAGCAACTCGGTCGTCCCGCAGCAGCTGTCAGAGCCCCAGAGCGGCCCCTCCCTCCGTAACCTGAGAGCTGCCTGCTCCGAAGCTAATGCCGAGGAAAACAAACGGATGGGGTATCAGTAGGAAAACTACATTGCATTGCATTTTTTTACTACAAACCACAGAATCACAGTATGTTAGTAAGACTCGGCCCAATTAATGAAGAACCCTTCCACATTTCCTCACTGAGGCACGTTTTACTGCCCCTATGTTTAGCAGCAGCTTGCTCAGAACCCTCACAAAAGAGTGATCTGCCCCAGTGCCTTACTTGGTACAGTCACACTGTGTATTACACATCCAACGTGTAATATACAAAAAAACCCACAGCCTACCTACTACCAGGGTGACAAGACAATGTTTTCACCAACCAAAGTCGCACTAGGGGGAAGAGACAGAGCTACACCAAAGTTGGACAAAACGGGCAACACTTGCACTAGCCCAACATTGCTGTGCAAGCAAAACTTTCCACGGAGGCACACAAGTGAGAGCAGTTCTCAGCACAGTAAATCAGGAGCAAAACTGGACTCTGCAGATAGAATGCTATTTCCTAATACAATACAATTTTTCCCAGATGAGCTTAATAAGACATTACAAAGAATTACAGAGCTAGTGGAAAGCTCTTGCATTTAGTCAAAAGACTTCCTGGAGAGAACTATGAATATGAAACAATACTAAACCTGGCCTTCCTTCTACCCCGATGTTCAGAACTCCATTAGCTCTGCCTATGCTACACGTTGCCAAGTTAGTTTCTTAGTACTGCAGGCATTCTCTTACAAGTTTCTCAAAGCCAAGAGATTACTTCCTCCTTTCTACAGTCTAATCCATCATATACTGCAATCCATTTTGCCATCCTTTTAGAACAGGTAACAGGAAATAGCCACTAAAATAGAAAGGTGAAAATGTAGAATGAACTACCAGCAAAAAGAATTGATTCATAATAGGTCTGATCCACACAAAATATAAAATACTGTTGCTTTACTCCTGTGCAGCCTTTTGGCTAGAAGGAAGCTGATCCCTCCATGCACATAATTCTGTATATTAGCACTCCTCACACACACTGACTAATGTTTGTGCTTTTGTGGGGTCTATAAATCAATTACATTTATGACCAGGTTTAATAGGTAAACAATAAATAATTTCAGTCAAAGCACCTGTAATGAAATCCATCACCATCACTTCATTTGCTGAATTGTCAAAGGGGAAAAAAGTGGAAAATAGCTTAGATGTCAGGAAGGTCAGGGCAGCCCACAGGCAGTATGTAATAACCTGCTTTTTCTGTGGGGAAATGGATGGTGTTAGAGACAACAAAAATCGGAGACAAAAGTTGAAATATTTCTGAATGGAGTCTGATCAGTGCATTCCCTGAGGACAGCTTTAGTCTACAGCACATGGCCACTATGTCAGCAAGTAGCTGCTCTTTCACTGCAGCAGTAGCTGCTGCCACTACAAGAGTGACCAGGGGTACTGCTTTAAAGTGTGCTATCAACACTACAGGAACCAGGACTAACCCTTCCTTTGCCACAGGCTCAAGACAATCCTGTGACCAGTTACACCAGGAATATACACCTGTGAAATCGTGCAGACTGATTTGTTTGCCTAAGATCACATACATTAAAGAACCCTGCATCTTTATTGTAGTATCTTCTTGAAGGAAGCTGCAGGTTCTCAAAAGACAAGACAAGAACCATGCTTATGTGTTGTTTACTCAATTTATTTGTATAAACACGTATATTCCGTGTTTATAATTACAAACTTGAAAAGGGATTGATCATAAGATATTTTGATCTATCATATTTCCAGTCATCACATATACCCAATAGTTGCCACACACGGGACATACAGACAGGCAAACATGAGCACACTTACACAAGATCACTTGTTATGCTTAAAATGCTGCATTGATCACACAGTGCTTGTAAAAATAAAACTAAAGTAGAAATTAGAAATCCAAAAGGGTTTCTAATATTACAGATACAATAAATTTAACAATCTTAGTAGGCCAGACCATCTAGCTTCTTTACTTTTGTTCACAAGACTGATCTGTAATTTTAACCAAATGTCCCTAACATAGACATTGTGTGAAGAGCAAGTATTAACATTAATTGTTATTCATAGATCTGAGAGATTAATCTACAAACTCATGCTTCCTCAGAATATAGTTTTAAATTGTGGCATAACCTAGGGCAATGCTACTACCAGATCAAACAGCCACTCTATTTAACATCTGAATGGAGCTTACATGGTTAAGCACGTCTCTATTTTTACAGTAAGAAGTTCTGCTACAAATTAATTAAGGAATTAATATACGAAGCGGCTTGCAAAAATAATGTGAGAAAAGTCACAGGTGTTTGTAAGTTAGAACCAAGCCATTAACCTCTCCCCGAACTAGATTCGTTCCCAGCAAAATCCCAAGTTACCTGGCTGGAGCACGTGTACCAGCAGATGGCCCTGTTCGCCAGCCTACTGAGCTACCCGGAGATTCAAGGCGATTTTCGGCTATCGCACAAAAATCTCATCGCATTTTGCTCCGATTAATTTCACTGATTATTTGCCTTACATTTGCTATAAGAACAAGATGAGAAAATATGCTCTTCTAAATAAAAGCAGATAAGCAGAAGGAACAAAGCCACTTAGTGCCTGAATCCAGCTCTCGGGTCAGCCTATCATATTAAACCGGTCACGAGAGGGTTTCAGGGCAAATAAATACGTGTAATTGTCAGCGACGGTATGATACAAAACCACATTTAGACCACAGGCCGCTTCTGCTGATCCAGAGAGCAGTTAAGGCTCATGGCACAACACCCAACTCTGCTTTCACATGTTTTGTTCAAACATTTGACTTTGAGAATGTGCGTGGGCTATAGACAGAGCAGAACATTGTGGTCATGCTTACATTTAGTGGGACAAGAGCTTACCATTCATTCTTACATTCAGCTTCTACACCACTCACGTGTAACACATGTAGCTCTTTATGGTTCTAGGCAAACACACATGCTGCCATCCAGACAACATCCAAAAAATCTGAATACATTTTACTGCCATGTAAGGGAAGTTTGCCTCGCATGCTGTTTAAGGACAGACTGAAGTGGAGATTACATGGGAGGGATCTCTTTCCTATTAAAACTTCCAACTTTAGATATTTATCTTAGCCAACTATAAGCACAGTGGGGAAAAAAATGTTAAAAAGTTTATTTAAAAATCTGTTCTTTCAGTTCAACAAATCTTTCCTGCCTAAAATAATAATTTGCTCCCAAGGCTGAGGTTTTGACATGTACATTTCAGGTTTTATTTTAATGGATTCTTACCATTAAGACTGTTGAAGCCTCCAACTTTAAAAGGTGCAGATACAGTATTATCACAGTCCTCAGTGCTTTGTACCACTCATAATCCATCCCTTCATCAGAGACAATAAAGAAGAACAGATTGGTTTCTAAGCACAGTTTGTAAGAAGTGTCTCACAGTCTGCTTCTGCCTTGCTGCCAATTTTTCTCCCCAGAAGCTGTTGCATTCACAGCATTTGCTACAGAACGTTATTTTGTGATGGGGTCAAGCAGCACACTTACTCTTCAGAGCTAAACTTCTCCCCTTAGACTACTGAAGCCTTAACAGCAGGGGTAGCCACAGCTCTTCTTGCCAGTAGAGTAGCCTCACTCTGCCTGCTCTGGAGAATACAGCACATCATTTAGATGCAGCCTACTTCCTCTCCACCTCATTTTTTCTCAACCACCTACTGCCTCCTCCTTCCTTCTCTTTAAAAATCCCCTACCACCTGAAACTACCATACTCATTCATATTTTCTTCCACTCAGCTCTACACATGGAAGATAGGAAATACATTAGGAAGCATTCACACTGTCAGGTCCTGAGAAAATGCAGAATATTAGCCACATTTTCCAGAGATGGGAAATCCTACTTTGCACGTTACAGATGAGTTTTTCTGAATATAAATTTTATTTGGGTCCACTTACACAGGCAGCCCTACTGACCATCTCTCAACATCTGAAACAGAGAAACATTTTGCCCCTAGAAGACTTGTATTATTTAATGTGATCTCAAATGCAGCAAGTTCATACTTTTTCACCAAAGGCTTGCAACCTGACTGGTATTTTGTCCAGCCCTGATAAGCATTCAGTATTGTCCTGGTTTGAGCCAGGATGAAGCCAATTTTTCTTTTTACTGATTTTTTTTTCCTTCAGTAAGCTTTCTTGTAACTAGCAACAGTGTGTTCTGCTAGGCTGATAAGACAGTGGAATGTTTTTCTAACTACTGAGGCTTCAAGGCTGCACCTTCACTCTGCCGGCTCAGACACTATGGGGAGATCTGTGACCCCCCCCGTAGGAGGCTGAGTTAGACAGACAGCAAAATTGGCCAAAGATATTCCATTCCATGTATCTACGTAAGCTCAGAGGAAGGTCAGAGATCACAGAAGACAACTTCCTTCTTTCTTTTTCTTCCCTTCTCTTCCGTCCATGGCCAGCGTCCAGGGAGGACTCTGTTCATCCATCACCGTTGATCCTCAGGCTTGATCTCTCGTGACCCCCATAACTCTCTGCTTTCTCCAGCAGCAGCTTCAGGATTCCTCGGGACTCTTCCCAGTTCAGGGAAGTGCTGTGGGAGTTGCTGGGGGTGGGGGGAGGCGAGAGGTTTTTTGCCCATACCTGAATATATCTGTATATAATTGTATATATTTTCTTGTATGATTCATTAGTGTTTTAATTAAAGTTGTGTAGTTTAGTTTTCAATCCAGCCAAGTCTCTCTCTTTTTCTCTCTCTCCTTCCCTACCTGGGTGGGAGGGGGAGGGGATCGAGAGCATTGTTGTCGGACCTGAGTCAAACT